TCTCTCTCTCTCTCTCTCTCTCTCGGTGTGTGCGTACACCTCGCGCTCTGTGCGTTTGCGTTGTTTCGCTTTATGGGTGCATCTCTCTGTGTCTTACTCTGTCTCTGTACATCTCGTTTTCTGTCTGTTCGTGATCTCTCTCTGTTGGACTTCACTCTGTCATTGGCCTCTCTTTGGCGTTGCCACACCACTGTTGAAACGGATTAAGAATGAACGAATCTTCCGCAGAAAGTGGTAATAATCACCCGTTGCTATTCGTAGAAACGGATGCATCTTGTCATTTTTTGAGGGAAGATGCACTCTTACTTTTTCCGCGTTTGGACTCGTGTGCCCAGGCCCTTTGTGTCTGCGTCTTTCTTTTTTTTTTTCTTTTTTTTTGCAATCTGTCGAGGACTTCTTGTCTGTAGGCTTTTCTTGCTCTTCGACGATCTCTTTCTTCTCTCTGTGTGATTATCTTTGTGACGTTCTCTCTCTCTCTCTCTCTCTCTCTCTCTCTCTCTCTCTCTCTCTGTGTGTGTGCTGTTTTTGGGGGGACATTCCATGTGGACCAATATATCCGCTTGCCGTGGTTCAGGGTGTACTCGAACACTACTTTGTTACTTACGGACGCAATTACGGTCAGATACATGCAGGTCCGGCCGTACATTTGGTCAGATACATTTACCACAGAGCTAAAATAATGTGAGTACGCTCTTCAGTTGTTCAAAGTTTGATTCGAGTGCTCGTACTTCGTCGTCATTCTGACCCTATTGCGTAATAGTTATTAGTTTATATCTTGTTTATTTTTATTTTTTTTCCTGTCTCAAACAGCGGCTGTTAATTAACAAGATCAGGACCATTTGGAAATCGGCACATCCCCAAAAAACGAAATCGGCACGTCTGCAGTGAAACGAGGAATCCGACTCCGCTGTCGGCCGTCTCCCTCGCTGAAAGGACGCGGGTGGGGTGGGGGGGAAGGCAAAAAAACAAACGAAATGACTCACCAAAGGAGTAAAATTGCGAGAGGATGGGCCTCGCTCCACTGCGCTTCACTTTCAAATTGAATGTATGTGGGGCTGATGATTGTTCCGATACATCGAGAATGGCGGATCGGTCAAAGTATCTGGTCCACAAATGTGGATCGATGAGCAGTGTAGCGACGCCCTATCTTCAGCTGGAGCGAGGTGGAACTTTTTATTTTTTCTTATTTGGGACCATTTCTCGATCAATCGTATGTGTGGCATCCATTCGCAGGGGCCATGTTAATTAACTCTCTCTCTCTCTCTCTCTCTCTCTCTCTGTGCATTCTCTCGATTTTCTTTTTTTTTTTGTGTTTTATTTTGTTTCTTGTATTTTTGCGGAGGTCTTTCATCCGCTACTTATAGATTTGTAGACATTTCTCTCTCTCTGAGAAGTACTTTCATTCGCTCCACTTTTTTTTCACTTCTTTTTTTTAATATGATGGTAAGGTGGTCTTTAAGGCCAATCACCTGTCGAATCATTCGCTCCAATTTTAACGGATGTCCCAAAGGACGGTGGAAAAATTAACTCTCGCCGTCCCCTCCCCCTTCCCCCCCCTCCCCTCTCCCCCCCCCGCCCTTCCCCTCCCCCGCCCCTTTTCATTCTTCTCTGTCTTCTTCTGACATGTGGCGAGCGGCGCACCGAGGCCCCGTTTCTTCCATTAGTGTAGTTTCTGTTTCTACTGTTTTGGTCATTTTTTCAGTTTTCTTTTTCCTTTTTTGTTTTTCCAACTTTTTCTTGAGATTTTGTGAGCGGTGGATCTTGGCTCTTTTTCCTCACCAGCCACTAGCTGTGCGGCTGAGTTGTTCTTGCCCTTTCTTTTTTTTTTTTTTTTTTTTTTTNTTTTTTTTTTTTTTTTTTTTTTATTTATGCGTGTCATCCTTGAAAGCGCAGGGGCCATGCTAATCAATTTTCTGTGTATCGCTCCAATTTGAACGGATGTCCCGAAGGGCTCTTGCCCTTTTTTTCTTTATTTATTTACTTTTACTTTCTTTTTTTTGTTGGGAATCGGACCCAACGTCCCTTAATAATATGGTTGAGGCGGTCCTCACAGTGTTGCCCTTTTTTTAATTGTGGCGGTGCTTCTTCTTTCTACCGTTATTGTATTCGACTCATCGGACTACTCTTCTCCCCCCGAATACAACGTACGGTCATTATAGATATCTCGATAGGTACACAGCTATAATGACCGTACGTTGTATTCGGGGAAGAAGGCAGGGCTCGAGCTCGTGATCGGTTCACCATCACGACTTACGTTTGTGCGTCATTCGGCCACATAAACTGTTTTTTTTTTTTTTTTTTTTTTAATCCTTTTTTATTTTTTTTTTTTTTTTTTTTTTTTTTTTTTTTTTTTTTTCTGTCCCTACGAGCTGTTGCTTTTTTCCTTTTCCTTTGTTTTCGGCTGTCTTTTTGTCTTATATTTTTTGAACGTGTCTTCCGCATCTGGGCCGACGTCCCACTATATAGCCAAGGGGATTACAATTAAACGTCTGAGCCTGGACGTGTTTGTTGAGAGGGTGCAGAAAATGGCAATTAATCTGCCGCTACATCACGCACTCTCGCTAGACTAACCAAATGTAGAAAATGAGAATGAATCTGCCGCTATAACCTGGGAAGATACACAGCCGTAATTTTTGGCTTTTGTGCATGTGCAGAGTAGTGGAGCGAGGCCCAATAGGCTATATATAGCTGTGACTTGTGCGGTGGTGTCCTTCCTTCCCTCTCTCTCTCTCTCTCTCTCTTCGGGGTCGCCCTACCACTCGCCAAAATGTAGGGCCAGATCCCACTGGCAAAGAGGATTGGACTAAGTGTCTGAATCAGGACGTGTTCCACGCGGAGATGCAGAAAAGCAGATCAATTACAGTTTGTCGCACCTCTCCACAAACACGTCCCGATTCCGACGCTTATTCCAATCACTTTTGCCAGTGGGATCCTTCGCGCCTCTCCACAAACACGTCCCGACTCCGACGCTTATTCCAATCACTTTTGCCAGTGGGATCTCACCGTTAATGTGGAAATTGAGATGGAATCCAGCGGCGCAGCTCAGGGTGTACTCACCCTACCACTCTTCTGAATGTCTCGGACCGGAATTACGGCCGGATTTGAATGTATATGGCCGCATTTCCGTCTCGAAACGAGTAAAAAGGTCCTCCTTAGGCTAGTGTTGAGTATATGCCCTCAGTTGGTAAGTCGTGGGTTCAATCCCCCTCCGGTAGTGGCGTCATATACCTTCCTGGGCATGCTTGGCGCCCGCGGCCGTCACCTGCAGTCTTCCCCCGAATACAACGTACGGTCATTATAGCTGAATTTGGGGTATCTTTCCGTCTAAATACAGCTAGAATGACCGTGCGTTGTATTCGGGGTGAAGAAGCTAGAGATAGCCCAATGGATCCCCCGATCGGCACTGAGGGCGTACTCACACTAGGAGTATCTCAAATGTCAAATGTATCAGACGGCATTCACGGCCATTTCTGGATGTATCTGGCCGCAATTCCATCTAGAATTACGTGAAAATGTCGTAGTGTCAGTATGACCTGAGGCTGAGAGTCAGAGTCTGCTGATGTTTGTTCCGTAGGGGAGGGGACCACCACCGGAGGGGAGCCACAGGGACCATTCGTCTTGTTGGCATGGGTCCCTGATGGTACCGGCGGCGGGTTTCCCCTGGCGGGTATGGCCCAGCTGAAGGTCGGGAACTGCCGCCCACATGTTCTCTCGTGAACATGGTTCTGGCTGCAGGCTTCCCCGTGTGACGATAATTAGGAGAAGTGGTAGGTAGGTAGGTAGAGTGAGGTGATTTATTATTATTATTATTATTATTATTTTTTTTTTTTTTTTTTTTTTGATCAAAACAGAACAGTTATATTCCAAATTGTGAACGAGGCCGGGGACCTCACAATTCTACCCGGAGTTATCCTGGCAGCATCAGCCAGTTTAGCTTACAGTCAAAAGACTGGAAAAGCATCAACAGACTTGCAACAGTCTCTCGATGAATCAATACGCGCAGTTC